CCCCCCTCTCCAGCCTGTCCAGGTCCCTCTGGACACCATCTCGTCCCTCAGGCATGTGACCACACCACTTGGCTTGGTGTCATCTGCAACCTTGCTGATGGTGTCCTCCATCCCACTGTCTATGTCATTGATGAAGATATTGAACAGTACTGGTCCTAGTACAGACCCCTGAGCGATCACCATCCTCACAGGCAACAATTTCTTCCTCACATCTCATCTAAATTGCCCTCTTTCAGGGTAAAGCCATTCCCCCTCGTCCCATCACTCCATGCCCTTGGAAAAAGTCCCTCCCCAGCTCTCCTGGAGCCCCTTTAGGCACTGGAAGGGGCTCTGAGGTCTCCCCTTTTTGGCCTTCTCTTCTCCAGGCTGAACCCCCCCAACTCTCCCAGCCTGTCCTCCCAGCAGAGGGGCTCCAGCCCTCCCAGCATCTCCGGGGCCTCCTCTGGCCCCGCCCCAACAGGTCCATGTCTTTCCTCTGTTGGGGGCTCCAGAGCTGGAGGCAGTGCTCCAGGCGGGGTCTCAACCCGGGGTGTTTCTATTGCTGCCTCATTGCAGCGCAGAAGCAGCAATTTAGTTGTGCTCCTGTTCAGTGTTTAACCAGGCGGTGGTGTGAAAGCAGAAGGAGTATTTTCTGCAAGCATCCGGAGGAGATGAGGCTCTCCATCATACAAACTTTTCTCCAATGTGTGTTTTTCAATGGAAAAAATATAATTTTGTAGTGACTTTAAAAAAACTGCTGAGGTGGATTTGGCTTGCTGCTTTTTCACTTCTGCCTTTTTCTGTTGCAGATCACTCGTGGAGAGGAATGCAAAGGCCAGAAACAAACTGGAGATTTTTTTCCACTACACCCCAAAATATGTGAAGCTGAAGGAAGTGAGGATGGTGCTAAGCGCACAAATGAACCGGTGAAACGGCACAAACAAAATGTAAGTGAAAATGTATTGACCACTGAATACTTTGCAGAAATCTAATCACAAATCTGACAAGCAGGACGACGCAGCGTGTGTGGTTTTCTTGTGCAGCCCCAGTTGGTCCCTTCAGTGGTGCAATGGTAAAGGTTGGTCTTGCTCCGAGCTCCACAGCAGGTTTCCATTGACAAAATGTCCTGGTTTGTGTGTTTTCAGCATTAAGCAAAGGTTTATTTCTCTCCTACCTCCTATCAGCTTGGGATAATTCCTCTAAGGATGAGGATGAATGTGGTGTGTGTCTGCCACACGTTCTGTTGCCTCCTGCCGTGAGCACTCAGGAAATGCTGGGCATGTCTTGTGGCAAGTGTTTATACGGTGATAATTGCTGAAAATTTGGTCATCTCTCTGCAGTGTTACCTTAGGTGTTCTTGCCTTTAGAAGTCAGCTGAGAAACAATCACCGAGAGCATCTCAGAGAAAAAGCTAAAGAGCTGTGAAGAACAATGTTCCTCAGACCCAGCTGAGGTCAGAGCAAGGGAGACCCGTGGTTGGTGGGGGCTCTGCTCACCGCAGCTTTAGGAAATCCTAAATTCCTGAAGTCTCCCAAAGGTGGAAAGCTAAGAGACAGCGTGAGGCGCCAACGCTGTCTGTGCAGACCCTGCCTTCTGTGCGCCTGCAGCCCGGGCCAAGGGCAGACCTTGCTAATTCTGCAGGACAGGTCTCCATGCACACGCTTCCTCACGCTACCTGCGGCGCGATTTAATCTCTGCGGGAAATCCAGATGCGCCAAGTGCCAATACCCGGTGCTGACTGTGCCTGGTGCCAGAAGGATGGGAAACTCCATCGCCGTTATTGTCAGCGCCAGACACCGTGGTGGAGCACCGGCAAATGATGCTGCTGGTTCTGGAGGTTGTGGGGCTGTTGCTGCGACCCAGCATGGAGAAGTGCTTCCTGCAGAGCGGAGGGGTGTCCCCCTGCGAGGGGCTCTGTGCCAGGCAGGAGTGTAACCCAGCTGGGTGTGCTGTCTGGTCAGGAACATGTTGCGAGTCAATAATCTTACGAAGGCAAAAGCATCCAAAAATACTTAATGTTTCTGGATGTGACTACATCAGTGGACAAGGGAGAGCTATGGATGTCATCTATCTGGAATTCTGTAAGGCCTTTGACATGGTCCCCCACAACATCCAGCTCTCTAAATTGGAGAGAGATGGATTTGATGGATGGTTTGTGCAGTGGACGAGGAATTGTTTGAGTGGTCGCATCCAGAGGGTAGTGGTCAAAAACTCAATGTCCAGATTGAGATCGGTGATAAGTGGTGTCGCTCAGGGGTCTGTACTGGGACCAGTACTGTTCAATATCTTCATCAATGACATAGACAGTGGGATGGAGGACACCATCAGCAAGGTTGCAGATAACACCAAGCCAAGTGGTGTGGTCACATGCCTGAGGGACGAGATGGTGTCCAGAGGGACCTGGACAGGCTGGAGAAGTGGGCCCATGTGAACCTCATGAGGTTCAACAAGGCCAAGTGCAATGTCCTGCACCCGGGTCGGGGCAACCCCCAGTATCGATAGAGGCTGGGGATGGAGGGATGAAGAGCAGCCCTGAGGAGAAGGACTTAGGAGTGCTGGGGGTTGAAAAGCTGGACATGAGCTGGCAATGTGCGATTGCAGCCCAGAAAGCCACTGGCATCCTCGTGTGCATCCCCAGCAGCGTGGCCAGCAGGGCGAGGGGGGGATTCTGCCCCTCTGCTGCGCTCTGCTCTGGGGAGACCCCACCTGGAGTACTGCCTCCAGCTCTGGAGTCCTCAACAGCAGAAGGACATGGAACTGTTGGAGCGGGGCCGGAGGAGGCCCCGCAGATGCTGGGAGGGCTGGAGCCCCTCTGCTGGGAGGACAGGCTGGGAGAGTTCTGGATCAGGGAGGGGAGCCATGGGATGAGGGGGAACGGTTTTACACTGAAAGAGGGGAGATTGAGATGAGATATTAGGAGGAAATTTTTCCCTGTGAGTGTGGTGATCCCCTGGGGCAGGTTGCCCCGAGAAGCTGTGGCTGCCCCATCCCTGGAGGTGTTCAAGGCCAGGTTGGACGGGGCTTGGAGCAACCTGGGCTGGGGGGAGGTGGCCCTGCTCACTGCAGGGGAGGTTGGAACGAGATGACCTTTAAAGGCCCCTTGCAACCCAAACCATTCTGTGATTCTGTACCAGTTTGAGGGAGGCCGTGCCTTTGAACCTGCGGTGCTGAAGCTTGCATGACTTCTCTGCATTGTTGTACCACCATGGGGCCCTTTTTTGCCAATTTAACGGAACTGAGTAGGGTGTTTGGAGCAACTGGGCAGGGGATGGGGAGTGAGGAGCAGGGGAAAGTGAGGAAGGAGAGGAGACTGTGGTCAGTGTTTAAGCACTGAAGAGAAAGGGGTGTAGTTTAACCTTGGGCTCTTAGGCTGTAAATGAAGTTGATCCCTGGCTCAGCAGCTGCTTGTGGCTGTGATGCAGCACACAGATGGCACGAGAGCTTTCTAGTGGAGCATCACAGAGTCCACAGCAGGATTTGGGCTGTTTTTAATATACCCACAGAAATGGAAAAGTCCTTTTGGGAGGATGGAGAAGGCTAATCTGTGTGAGGGAGGAAAGGAAAGTGAGTTCCACTGTGATGGAGGCACCACAGTGACCCATCAGTGTCTCCCAGCAGCTGGAGGGAGGCAGCTGAGGGGTATGGCAGTGGTGTGATGCCATGCCACAGCTCATTGACAAAATTCAGGGCGACACAACCCGTACAGACCATCCCTGAGACAAATGAGCTCTTTTCAGGGGTAAATGCAGAGCTGCAGCTCAGTACTGCGAGGAGCGGCTGAGTGATAAAATGTTTTACTCGGGGACATTTTCACCCACTCCTCCAACACTGTCTTATGTTCTAACAGCAGAGCACCCCGTGTGCCCGCTCTGGGCAGCCACCCCACGTTCGCGGAGATGCTGATGGACTGAGCCTTTTCTGGGGACTCCAGACGGGCCGGAACACGCGCGGCTTATTCCTGCTTCAGCAGTACTCGCAATATCCCCGGTGCGGGCTGAGCGCGGGAAGGCAGCCCGTCCCCGAGAGATCACACGTGGCCGTGGGCAGGCGGGAAAGGGAGAGGACGGGGGCTGCGGTGGGGCCGCGCTTCCCGGCCCCGCGTCACCCAGCACAAGCCCCAGCCCTGAATGTGCTAATGCCAGCTTCTCCTCTGCACGTTGGATTTTGGTATTAGCATTTCAGATTTGAGCATTGCCCACAAATGAAAACATTTATTCCTATACAACAAAATCCCTTTATTTGAATATAAAACCCACCTGTAATGAAGACACTTGTTGACAAAGAAATAGCGAGAAAATAAGTAAGTAGCCTCCGCTTTATGATTTAAATACTGTCAAAATGTGGCCATGGAGGTGTCCCATCCCCTCGCAAAATACCATGTGTGGCAGACAAGTGCCAGCAGGGTGACCTTGCTGGGGACAGCGTGGCCAGGAGCTACACTGGTACCAACCACCCTGCACTTGTCTTCGCTCGCCAGCTCTGGTGGCACTGTGCAGTCCGTCAGGTCCCCTGGACGGGGGACGTTGAGCACTGTCGTGTTGTGAGGGCCCAGGAAGGCACAGTGCAGCCCTTCGATCACTCCCCTGTGCGTTGCGGTCCACCGCCAGAACCAAAGCATCTTGCAGTCGCATTTCCAGGGGTTGTGGGATAAAAACACGTACTTCAGTTTCGGCAGTTCAGCCAACAAGCGGATGGGGAGGGAGCTGAGGTTGTTCTTGCTCAGGTGAAGGAAGTGCAGCTTGTTTAAGTATGAGAAAGCAGAGTCTGAGATGGAGGAGATCTGGTTGTTGTTCAGGTACAAGTTTCTCAAGTTCAGGAGGTGTCTGAAGGTGCAGTCGACAGCAGTGATTCTGTTGGCTTCAAGGTGCATGGTCTTGAGCTGGATCAACCCGTCGAAAAGCTGATTAGGCAAATCGGCGATGAAGTTGTGTCCTAAATTTAACATGCCCAATCTGAGAAGCTTTGTAAAAGCGCCATTTTGAATAATCCATATCCGATTCTTCCTGAGATTCAGATTGTACAGGGTCTCCAGGTCCTTCAGGGAATCTCTGCCGATGGCTTCTATGTGGTTGCCCTCCAGGGACAGCGTGGTGAGGCTGGAGAGGTTCCTAAAGGCTTGTGGAACGTAGCGCATGTTATTGGAGGCTAAATCGAGCCTTTCTAAAGAAGGCAGGTGTGAAAAAAGAAGTGGATGGATTTCGAAGATATTGCAGTGGGACAAATCCAGGCTGATGAGGTTT